ACATAGCTACCGATGATAATGCCAGACCACATGCTGCTTTGGCGACTCGTCAGAAAATCGCAGAGCTAGGCTGGCAAATTCTGTCACATCCACCATACTCCCCAGACCTAGCACCCTCCGATTATCACTCGTTTCTCTCTTTGCAAAACTTTTTACAAGAAAAAAAATTCAAAACTGAAGCTGGTGTCAACCAAGCACTAGTTGAGTTCTTCGCCTCTAAAAATAAATCATTTTTTAAAAATGGCATTTACAAGTTGCCATCACGCTGGCAAGAAGTCATAAGTAACGATGGAAAGTATATTCTACAATAAATATTATTAAATGTATGAAAATTGTGTTATATTTCAATTAAAAAACGAACAGAACTTTCCGGTAAACCTAATATATCCCCGATAATCTTTCATTTATTATATTAGATGGACCGGAAAGTTATGTCGTTTGTTTACATTAAATTCAAGCAGATAAATATGCGCAGAAACGACATTACTTTCCGGCCCCCCTAATATTTCCTGTACTATGTATGTACTATAATATTACTACCGTTGTTAAAATAAGAATTCAAAGGAGAGATCAATAAAAAGTGGAAGAAATATTAGATTGTCAATTGTGGACTACTAATAGATCTTCTAATGGCTCAGCTATATTAAAAAGAAGATTAATCATTTTCATTCGACTATCAATCTCGAAGCAAATGCGTAAAACGTGTTAGTTGAGACATCTTACTAGTTTAAATTTATTATAACGTTCTCACTTCTAAATCTCTGATTTTTCAAAGGTTACTATCGATACCCAGGGTATTAAGCAATCATTAGATTGAAAGAAATGAAGACAGCAGTTGGAATAGTTCCACCACGGTACTGTCTGCCGATTCGAACAACTCTGACAACATCGAAGCTGTTGGCCACGGATAAATTTGGAATCGGATGAAATCGGCTCCAATAGACTGAATCGCAACCAACCGAGGATTCAGCTCAATTACACCTACACGTTCGTAGAACTTCAGACCCTTTAACACTATGATAACATTGCCCAACAGGAGTTTTAGCCTGCGATACGCATAGCGTGATCCTTGTGCAGTCTTTCGTCCGAATGTTTCCACCATTTTTCGAGAAACGATACCGCTATTTTCCGGAAAACGGTTTCTCTATTTTTCGCAAAACGGTTCGTTTCTTTTTCGAAAAACCATTCTACCATTTTTCACAAAACGGTTCGTTTCTTTTTCGAAAAACCATTCTACCATTTTTCACAAAACGGTTCGTTTCTTTTTCGAAAAACCATTCTACTATTTTTCGAAAAAAAAAACAGACCTACTATTTTTCGAAGAACGGTTTTTAATAGAAAAAAAAACATAGCAACTTTTATAGAAGCTTCGTGCCTGCTTAGTCACTCGCTGCTTCTAAGAAAGTTTGCATTAGCCGCACCTCGTACACGCTTTATAGGCATCTGGCGTTATTAGAGCAGCTTTAATGACGATGTGTAACGACGTGGTGTTATTAAAGCAAGGTTAACAAGCACGATTCCAAGAATAGTAAAGTTCGGCGGATTGACCTGACAGTTTGGTCAATGACGTAATGCTTGATTAATGGAAAATATGTTTCTCTTGAAAACGACGCTAAGAGAGAGGCGTGATCAGAATCTACAATGAAGAGAGTCAGTATCAATTGAAATCTTATTTTCTGAGTTAGAGATTCTGTAATTTATTGGATTTTGACAATTTTTCTGAGAAACTAAGGGACTGCGATTTATTCTCTAAATTAGTTCACAAAATATCTATAATTTGTTTCATCGACTTCTAAACATTTATGCAGATATTTATGCAAACATAGAATTGGATCGATCGATTAAGTGTTTCATTGAATTATAAAATAAAATACATGCTTTTTTATAGATTTTGGAATTTATGAACACAATTTTTATAGATCAGTTGATAAAAACCAGTTATGAGAAAGAAATGAAATTTACCAACTAAAAATTGCCTTGTTGTAAAAATGAGATGTCAATAATGTTTGTTAACATCCACATGTCCTAGTGATTGAAAAATGTGTAAATGCGACAAATGCACAAGGATCCGCAATATAGTCATTAATAGATAAAATCTGTAGTTTAGTTGCAACATTTCCAACTAAAGTTATTCCAGTAATTAAAAATAAAGTTATCCCACTAAACTCTAAGATGTTAAAGCCAATCTGCAAATTAAGTGACGAGATTTTCTATAATTTGTAATAATAGTTCGCAAATTTTTCCGATCATTTACTAAGAGAAGGAAACTGTGGTAACCCTGTGACTCTTGCAAAAGTGGAACATTTCAATGGATTAAAAGTGATTGCGTAATTACAGACTATATCTTGCATTCCATAACTATGAAATATTAAATTGAACGAAGTTTCAACTCTTCGTAATAATTTACTAATTTTTCAGATATTTCCACGAAAGCTGTAACAATACATATAGTACATATAACGAAGAAGTGGAACCTTTCAATGAATTAAAAGCAATTGCCAATTAGAGTTCACCTTGAATCCCTGTCGCCGAGACACTGAAACCTGAATTATACAAAATTTCTATAATTCAATTCTATTCGGCAGAAGTGAACAAAATTTTATTCGAATGATAGATAGAAATAAAAAAAATGTATCCGAATACGATTTTATTCAAATAAGGATTCATTTGAATAAGAACTTTCTCGAATAAGAATTCTTTCGAATAAGAACTCACTCGAATAAGAATTTATTAGAATGAGAATATTTCTCCGTATAGGAATTCATACGGAAAGTAATCGATTCGAATAAAAATAAGTAAATAGATAGAATAATTTAAATATTCGACTGAAAAGAATTTATTCCTGTAATTATCTTAGACAAATATTTATTCGAAACAATTCGAATGATGCTCAACTCCGCTATTGGGTCATGACTGAAAATTGACGAGTGATAACAACGTGCTCGAAAACATGAAACTATTAGATGAATCAAACGCGATTGCTTAATTACAGGTAACTATTACCAAGGATACACCTTGCTTCTCTGAAAACGTGATTACTATGCCACGCGTGTAGTTTTCTGCATGCCTACATCGGAATCACTATTGTACAACCTCGGCAATAAAAAGCGGTCACCTTACGACCGCGATGAGTCGATCGTTGACAATCGTTTCGAGGACTTTCTCGGTTGCTTCTGCCGCGAGTTGCCAGTACTTTCCACGGTGAACGCGTGAGTTGAAACAATGATGATTCTCTGCGCAACGATCAACGAATGTGCCAAAATGGTGGTGTTCAGCCATCGTGATTCTCGGAAATCGATCCCATCGAAAGCTCTGTTTTGTTTCGGCGTGTGTTATAAACTTGGCGATATTTATGCGAAACAAATATCGCCGACAGGCGGCAGCCGAATAAATTTCAATTACGAGACGATGATGCTCCATTTACAAATTCAGTCGAAGAAGTAATGTCTGTGTAACGGCACATGACTTTAATCACGTGCCCAGTTAAGCCTAACTGTAGTCACGCGCAGCAGCATAATAATTAACCTCTTAGGTGGCGCCGGTCAACAATGTCGTTCAACCGTGCAGAAGAGAGTTCATCATTGATACTCAATTCAGTTAAAGTAGAACCCTCATTGATTCCATTACTCCGTATCTTTCTTCCTTATCTCCTTACGATTTTAGTGATTTTTTTAATACGACGTCTGATCATTCCATTACGACGAATCTAGGGGCGTTTTCTCTCTGTCGCGCCAACAATATCGCTTTTCACTAACTGGCACGATCGTTCACTGCTTTGTTTTATTTGAGCAGTTGAAATTGCTTTAGAGTTTAAGAAGGCTAAGCAAAGCTTGGGTTACCGACTAAACTCAACTGTTCAACTCATACTATGTGATCAATTGTTTTATTCGGTTGTTAGGGAAGTTTGTTTCGTCTTTCAAAAAAATTTTGTTCTGTAAGAGTGTTAAAAAAGCACTTGATTTAGTATTTTGCCAGTAAAAACTTCTATGAACATAAGATTTCAACAACTTTTCGAACGACCCAATGTAATTTATGATTTTGTTTCTACACGCAGTGTAGAACAAAAGTATAGTTTTAATAAATAAATTAAGTTACATATATTAATATTTGAAATTAATATAAATTACAATTTCACAGATTTTATATAATTTTGATTGTAATGTGTGTGCTTGAATATAGTTTATTCAGAAATTTCCTATGAAAGCAATGTTATGGTTGCAGTAACAATCAAATTGAATATTCTTCTGCTTTCTCGTATATCGGTGAAAAATATAAATTTTTGTAGAATTTTGTAATTAAAGTGTTCGAAGTAGACTTTGTGACATTTTAAATTATAATTCACAATAATGTTCAAATTGACAGCTGGTAGACGCGATCAAAAAGAAAGTACTAGGCCAATTAATCTGAAATTTTAACTGTATTTTAAAAAAGAGACTAATTATAATTTCATTAATTCTTTTTTTCTAGTAAACTCTGACATTCGAATTTAATAAATGAATACGAAAGCGACTCTGAAGGGCCACTAAAAATTGCTATACCATTCTTCAAAATAATCGTAACAGTATCAGATTCGTTTATATTTAAAGAACAGTTAAATTTGTAAATCGAGCCAATAGGCTCAATTTTGTATGTATAAATCGCAAGAAATCATATAAAATAGAAATACTGTAGATTGGAAAACACGTTTTGCTTTACGAATTAAAATGGCTTCGAGTGCAAATAGATAGATTTTTCGATTGTAAATAAACTAGAAGGGGCAATCACGCCAATCGCCAATGAAAACATTGCGGCAAGCATTCTAGTCTGCCGTTCATGAAAACTGTATTTACGAGCAAACAGAGCTAGAAAAGTGTGAAAATCTCAACAAAAATATAATAAAGTCCTACGCGGACTTTCAAATTCAGCAGTTTCACATTTCCATCGAAAAAAAAAACAATGTAAAAGAGTGAACATCTTTTTTAGAAACAAAGAAATTGCCCGCTTAAGAAACATGTACTCACCGGAGATTGGCGACGACAACGGTATAGCCTCCCTCAATGTGTACCAGGCCGACGTTTTGAAGTATAATGCCTGTGGACAGCATGCCGATTAAGGCGGGAAGGGTAGTCAAGGAGAACAACCATCCCCCGAAGTGTCCCGCTATACAAAGAGCAGCGAGGCTGAACAGTTGCCCGCCAGGGGCAGCGGTGTCGCCTAGCATCGAGTAGACGATGCCCCAAAGTAGCAACCCTAACAGGAACAGACATAAAATCCGGGCGAATTTTCTGTAGCTGGGGCAAAATGGCTGGGGACAGACTTTCCTCCAACCAGGTGGTTCCCATGACGGAGTGTCGTCGCGACCGTGGCATCGCGCACAAAATAAGTATAACCACGACCTGAAACAAACGATCATCTTCCATCAGTTCAAAACAATGCACCAATAAACCTATTCTTCGCGAGATATGTTCGTAAGTAGATCGTGCGATTTTGTGAAAAATAAAAATTATCTGCATCGATTGCAAAATGCTATATAGACATCTTTTATATTTCTTCAATTACTTTATCGAGAGAAAAGTTGCATAACCACGACCCGCAACAAACATTCATCATCCATCAATTCAAAACAACGCACCAATGTACACATTCTTTGCGAGATGTATTCGTAATTTGTTTGTAGATTTTCATGTGCAAAATAAGAATTGTCTGCATTTATTGCAAGATACAAATTGCAAGATTATTTTATTCAGTTAAAACTATAGTGCAACAGTATTCTTAATTTCTTTGAATGTTTTTACTATCCTGTATTTTATCTAGTCATTTTTTCTATAAGAGCATAAAAGCCGCAGTGTATTTATAATATTATTAAGCGTGTAGGAAAGAACACCATCATTGAATCTTTTAATTTTAAACTTGTAAATTTTTTAATAGTCAATTTAAAAATTGACCACTAGATCGGTACCTATCTTAAAAGAAAAATGGAATTATGTTTTAGATTAATNATTTTTTCTATAAGAGCATAAAAGCCGCAGTGTATTTATAATATTATTAAGCGTGTAGGAAAGAACACCATCATTGAATCTTTTAATTTTAAACTTGTAAATTTTTTAATAGTCAATTTAAAAATTGACCACTAGATCGGTACCTATCTTAAAAGAAAAATGGAATTATGTTTTAGATTAAT